TGTATAATCTGATTCCATGGGGTGGAACACTCTATAGACATTTATTAATTCCACATTTTCAGAAGCTTGGTTCAGTTCTAGTATTTCATTGTTGATTTTTTCCCTAGATGATCTGTCTTTTTTGATACTGGGGTATTTAGATCCACCACTACTCGTATGACAATGCTGAGTGTCAGAGATTCTAACAACCTACCTCATGTTCAAGAAATATAGAGTGGAACAAATGGAATTTGAAATTGAGATGCCAGATTCTGGGTCTAACCACCCAATCTTCATAGCTTCATACCCACTAGAAAGTTTTAAGCAGATATCCAATTGTCTAAAAATCATATTTGATGCACATTTTTTAACTCTGGCCAATTCCTGAGTAGAAATGATATCAACACCTTTCTGTATGCTTCTTTTTGAGATCAACTGTGCATACTATAAGAATGAAGGGTAACATGGAGATTTGCATTGTAGTTTTGTAGAGAGGAAGAAGGAGGTGTGTGCAGAATTATTATGTGTATTCTCTTTCTGTACTATTTTCCTGTGATATACAAGTGTTAATATTGTATTGTATCAGTAGGTGGTGCTCTCTACTCTGCCTCATAATCTACAGACAATTAAGAATGGCACAAAATAATCAAGGCATCTCTTTTTGGAGAGACTAACTAATGTCATCATGGAAACATGTCTGGGGCTGTGTAAGGGATTCCTTTCTAGCAATCTCCTGGCTAATACCTTGGGTCTGATTGCAAATGATCCAATTCAAATACATTTGTGTAGGGGAAAGGAAATAAGGGAAAAGAAGAATCCTGAGAAAACAAAAAAAAGGAAACAAAGGTTTGTAAATAGGGAAGGGTGATGGGGGTTAAGGGTAGGAAAGGGTATAGGTAAAATGAGAACCAAGACCTGTCATGTAAAGGTACAAGACCCCAGTGATGAGTGTAACTGTACTGTATACCTAAAACGTACCAATAAACAACCAATAAATGACAAAACAACAAAGCAACAACAACAACAAATTCATTTCACTCTTATAACCTAATAATATGGTAGCAGTTACATAAAAATATACCCTTATTCCTTTTCTTGAACTTGAGGAAGACTCTGTTTTTGAAATGGAGTGAAACAAGCTACATCGAACACATGAAGTTAGGTTGCTGTCTTTCTCCAGCCTACCAGGCCTTCCACAACTTTTTCAATGCTCAGTAACACTTTAGAGGGACACATTTTAGGTTTTTGTGGGTGTGATGTCTATGACACACACAACAAGTGTGAAAGGAAAATAACATTTATTATATATTTGAGGCCCATAGTAAAAATAAAAAAAGATAACCTTCACATTTCTCATAACTAAAATTTTGCTTATTAGCATCCTCAAATTGGGTGAAAACCTGTAATGTTAGCAATAGTCATGATTTTTTTTTGTTTGTTTGTTTGGTATCAGGGATTGAACTTGGGTCCTTGCATTTGCAAGGCAGGCCACCGAACTGCTGAGCTAGATCCCTGGCCCAAGGAAATGATGTTTCTGATAGTCGCTTATCCAGGTTCTCCCTCTGCACTTCCTGGGAAAGGCTGCTTCTCTGCTGGGTCATGGTTAAAAAGTACAGATTGAATGAAAATTTCCTGCACTGGGCCATGTGAAGGCTCAGACTCTGTCCTCAGACTTGATGAAAGTACACCGTAAGATAGGATCTTCCTGATGCACACAACCATGGCAGAGGGAGCACTAGCGTAGAGCACACTGGGTTGGTAAAATCAAAATGAGGAGGTTGAGGCACAGGCTCATTATTCACTATTATATGTTCTTTTTTTTTGTTTTATAGTTCCTACCTGATAAAGAAGCTCTCAAAGTTAGGAGGTGATTCACATTATCTATTATATATTTTGATCCTTATTACACTTTCCGTTTCTCACACCACAGCAACTATTCAGTATTTATACGCGTCCTGTTTACTTCACTTAAAAGTATGGCTTCAATGAAGGAGAAGGGGAAGTGGGAGGGATAAAAGAAATGAAAGAAGAGAAAAGAATAAATATGAGAAAGGGGAAAAATGGAAACAAAGTCTTTGGAAATCAGGAGGGGTGGAGGGGTTGAAGGGAAGGCAGGGCAATAGGGAAAAAATAAGACCAATGTTTAAGATGTAAAGGTACAAATTCCCAATGAAGAATGCCATAGTATTGTATACCTAAAATGTGCCAATAAATTTAATGAAATCAAGAAATGATTTCAGTTAAAAAACTTCTTGAGGTAGGAAGAAATCCGGGTGTGACACCAACAAGAGACATGACCATGTTATTGCTAGAAGGTTTAAAATAGGCAAGAAAGAGCACATGGGAAAGGTTATGGAATAAATTGGAAATGCCCACATACTTGAAATACATAAATTATTAAGCAATAAAACTTAATTACAAGAAGTGAAACAAAAAAATACACCAAATCAGAGAGGACACAGAAGTGAGTGATCATAGCAGATAAGAAACATATCAACCCTACAAAGAACAGCACAAAAAAGAAACATTTTTTTCATACAGCCACATAGGAGATGTTTCTAATGAGTAACTTAATGTCCACAATCATTGTTGGGACCAACCTTTTTGGAAGAAGAGGTTGAAAAAGGAAACAAATCTGTGGACATCATTCCATGACATATATTTTAATTTCAAATATTCACAAAATATTCACTGCCAAGGTACATAAAAGTGGTGATCCAATGGCACATGTGTCATTTTTTGTCTTTTAAGACAAATGATGTGAAAATTTGTTAGGTGGTGTCCTTTCTATCAGCATGCAAGCCAAGTCACCATGGTATTTTTTCTAAACCTCAGTATTCAGATTTAATTGTAGTTGTGGCACTTTGCCATAATAGATGATTTTTAGATACTGGTCTATATATTACATTTATTTTTCTTAGCATATCTATAAATTATCTCCAATGGATTTTATTGGCACACCTTTGACATACATAATAATCATTCATTCTAGAGAATTTGTTCCTGTACACTGAAAGGGAACAGTGATGCTCAACAACTAGGCCACACACACCAAGAGGTCCGACTGGAGATTTCATTCAAGGAGTGGGATTAGAAAGAAAGAGAGAGAGAGAGAGCAGAGAGAGAGAGAGAGATGGAAGAAGAAGAAGAGGAAAGAACAGCAAAAGGAAGGTCCTTTTATTAGTTTTGGGCTGGCTATTTTTTATTTATGAGGAGTGAGCTACCTTTAAGCTACCAGAGGCCAGGTTGCCTTTTGTGGGTCCAGTCCTGCAGAAACTGATTTTAATTTCTCTGGACCACTGTGGCCTTGGGGGAGGGGGACCTAAAGATAAGGGCATGAGGTCATTTTAAGAGCCAAGAAGCACCAGAAAAATGCAGCCTGTGATGGTGGCATCACAAAATACTTTAACATGATCAATTCCCTAACATTTCCCCCTCTTTGGTTTTAGATTAGAAATGGCGGCCAGTGCAAACCACATGCCAGGGGAAAGGGCAATGTATCTGTCTTCTGTAAGCACTTCTTGCTGAGTCTGGGGCAATGAGTCGACCTAGGGGCAAGCATGGAGGCTGGACGGCTGTACTGTCCTTTATGAACATGGAATTGTTGACAGCAGTAGCATTTTTACTGGAATTGTTGGTAGGGCTGAGAAAAGCCCAAGCACACAAATCAGTTGATGAGTGAGGAGAGAGGGGTAGAAGATAATTTGTATGATGTTATGGACTGGGTTGGAGGTTTACTAAGAACAAGTAAAAAGGTAAAGATTGTGACTTCAGCCAGGGTGAAGTCTAATGAAGTTTTTTGGAGCCATGCATTAGTGACCCAGTTGGCTATGCAGGTAATAGGACAAG